TCAGTTGGCTCCATCCCTGGCTATCGGGGGCGAGTCATTAGCCCCCGCGGAGAGGGCCCGCAACCTGGGCGTCCTCCTGGATACTCGGCTGTCTTTAGACGACCATATGACAGCCGTGGCCAGGGGGGCTTTTCATCAGGTTCACCTGATACGCCAGTTGTGCCCCTTTCTGGATCGTGACGCTCTACGCACGGTCACTCAAGCCCTCGTTTCCCGCCTGGACTATTGCAACACTCTCTACATGGGGCTCCCCTTGAGGTGCACCTGGAGGCTCCAGCTAGTTCAGAATGCGGCCGCGCGGGGGATCCTGGGGGCCTCTAGATGTTCCCATGTAACACCTCTCCTGCGTGAGCTGCACTGGCTGCCTGTGGCCTTCCGGGTGCGCTTCAAGGTGTTAGTAACAACCTTTAAAGCGCTCCGTGGCAATGGACCTAGGTATTTGCAAGACCGCCTCCTACCAAACACCTCCCTTCGAGCAGTCCGCTCCCACAGAGGGCCTCCTTAGGGTGCCGTCGGCCAGACAATGCCGGCTGGCGACCCCCAGGGGGAGAGCCTTCTCTGTGGCAGCTCCTGCCCTCTGGAATGACCTACCCCCCGACCTACGTACAGTTGCAGACCTGCGCCTTTTTCGCCGAGCCCTGAAGGCCCATCTATTCCATGCGGCCGGCCTGGCATAGTTTGATTATGTTTTAGTGGGGGTTTTGTATGGGGTACTTTTAGAGCAGGCCTGTTATTTAATTTGATTTTAGAACAGAAACTTGTGTATATTTATCGTGGTTTTTATTATTCCCTGTTCACCGCCCTGAGTCCCGTAAGGGAGATAGGGCGGTATATAAATTCAATAAATAATAATAATAATAAAGTATCCCTGCAGTCACATGATTCGCAATTCATCGGTATCTACAACGGTCGCGTGATTGCCATTTGCACATTTACAGCCAACTTTCAACAAGCAGAATCAATAGAGATGGCAAGTTATAGTCACATATAGTAAAATTGCAAGTTACATATGTCACACTTAAAGACCCCAGGGGGTTCATTTAATGACCATGGCCAAAGTGAGGTTGTAAGTCTGTCGCAGGCTGATGATGTCTCACTTAATGACTATGTCACTTAGCAACAGAATTGCCAGTCCCAGTTGTGATCATTAAGCAAGAATCAACCTGTACCTCAGGGCTACCTATACACATGCCAGATTTTATGCTAAAGCCAGCTTGGCTGCCTTGTTTCAGAAATGAAGCAGATCATCCACTTCCATTTGACAAAACCAACAATGGAACTGCATATTTAAATCCTGGAGAGCAGATTATTTATACTCTTGGGAATCTTGTAATACTCAGGTTATGGAGCAATTTAAAGATCTAAGAGACACTAGAAATGAATACTGTATATTCACGAGAGCAACCTGACACCCTACAATGAAGTAACTCTTCCATAAAATAAGGAGTGTAGATCAAAAGATCCCACTGCATGTAAAGAGGGAGCCAAGGTCCTTCTCATGTTTCCCAGGAGAAAAGCAGAGCATTATTGGGGATTCCACAGTCCCCTTTAAAAGTGTGGGTATCAACAGGCAAGGGCAAGAAGGAAAGTCTCCTGTTTCTATAGTGGAACATCTGGATTCAAATGCCTGCATGTACTCATCACAAGTGAAAATTAATTCAAAATCTGTTTTGCACTGGCACAATTATTCTTAAGGGGTTAAAAACAATCTCCTTTCTATCTCAGCATCCTCTTTTCATTAATGCTATGTAGAAAAAACAGCTCAGCAACACTGGTGCAATTTTTCAGCCAGGTAACATTTTAAATATAGATGAGGTCCTACAGTGGATATCTTGGTGATTCCTTCCACATGCAGTGCCAACAGTCTCCTTAGAGCAGGGGTAGGCAACCTCGGCTCTTTTATGACTCATGGACTTCAATTCCCAGAATTCCTGAGTCAGCATAGCTGACTCAGGAATTGTGGGAGTTGAAGTCCATGAGTCATAAAAGAGCTGAGGTTGCCTATCCCTGCCTTAGAGGAACTACCGACCATAAGGCTGTTGGTTTTTTTTAAAAAAAGTTTCTTTTCATTGATTTTTTTCCCCCTTACTTAAAAGGTCAGTCATTGATCCTCTGGAGAAAATTCATTACCTCTGTCCATCCCCTCCTGTGGCAGAATTCAAAGTTAACATTTCATAAAATGGCGGGCTTAGTAGACAGAGAGAGAAAGGCAGACAGGCTTGTACCTTTTCTGGCTGAGGAACCTGGCAATGATATCACCAGCTTTTAGCTCTCCCGTCAGCTGAATTGCCATGGAAACTTTGGAAAGATGAGGTGCTTGAACCCGTATTACTCCCTCTGGAATATCGGCCTGCAATACAATAATGAAATTGGAACACAGCACCTCGCAGCTGGCTTTGAGAAGGTTTTCCAAATCTGTGCGGAATGAATGAGCAAACGGGCAGATTGAATGCTCAAATCTGGCATTTTGTCCTGTGAAAAGCAGAAGCTATCTGTTTCCTGGTCTATGGTGCAATTTACCAAAATTCAAATATTTTCAAATTCTCTTTTTCAGAGCAATGGGACATACTTGTTCACAAATAGGATGATGGGTTTTTAACCACCAATTTACAAGCTACATATTAAGAACCTGCATTTGAGCTAACTCATTTATATATTAATAAGATCCTGTTCTGTAATGAAGGTGGGGGGGAGAACCCTTCATTTTAGAATATTACACTCTTAAAAAGCACTTGTGGATCAAGTTTTAATTTTCTAACCAAATGCCATTTCCCCTTCTGATAAGAGTATAATAATTCCAAAATATCAAACAGTGTGTGATTTCAAATTTCATATTCAGAAAGAGGTTATCTTATAATTCAAGTATAAAAGAAACCCACTGTTTAAATTTCAACATGTACCACACAGCATTTTATACAAATGTTAAGATATAGAGCATAACTCTAAAGAATCACTGCACATTACTTTCATCCTGGTTCCGCATGTCAGAATGTGAAAGCAAGCATTGGAACAGGTGTAAGCTAGATATTTTAATGATTTAAAGATGTAGGTAATCTTTGAGTTACAGCAGTAATTGGGACTGGAATATCCTACTCAGAAATTCCACTAAGCGATATAGTTGTACAACACAGTGTCACGTGATGCATTGCTAGGCAACAGCAAAGCCAGCGGTCCCCGCTGCTGTCATTAACTGAATCCCACTGGTTGTTAGGCAAGGACCCATCCCAATCCAAGTCATCCCCTCCCAGCCTCACACCTGGTAAGATAAGGGGTTGCTTACACTTCACAGCTGCCCCACCTGCCTCTTTCTCCCCATCTCTGCCCTTTGGTCACTTTGTACTCTATTGTCTCTGCCCTGCTGGCCCTTCTGCCCTATGTTCAGCTCACTCTATCACCCATCCAGCCCTTGCTGCCCTGCACTTGCTCGCCCTGCCATCCCACCGGCCCTGCTGCCCCCAGGTCAATATAGCCATCTTTTTCCCACAGCTGAGATGCGCCAGGCCTGGTCCTCTTTCTCTTCTATTTGGAAGTGGCATGAGCAGCCTTGGGGAAAAAATCCTGGCACAACCAGCAGCTGCCTTGCATAGGGCCAGGCCAGGTGTTCCTCACTGGCATCAGAAGAAATAAGGCTTGGCACTATGGTGCCGTGATGGCTGGCCACAGGATGGGGCTTGAGGCAGCATTTCTCAGCAGTGGTAGCTCTGGGGCTGAAGTAGAGCAAAGGCCCCAGCCTCTATTACAGCCCTGTTGCCACCACCACTAAGTACTACTATGCAGAGAGGCCAAAAGGGCAGAAATGGGGGAAGGAGGAGGGGGAGATAGACAGATAGGAAGTGTTGAGATATTCTCCAAGATTGTAAGTGCAGGCAGGTTGCCAAGTGCCAGAATTGTGATCCTATGATCACAGAGGCATTAGCAGCAGCCATAACTTTGGAGACTGGGTGTAAGTACCATTTATTAAGCACCACCATAACTTTGAATGGTTGCTGAATGAATGGTTGTAACTTGAGAACTACCTATATAGGAAAACAGAAAATGTTATTACAAAATAGCAGGAATGCAGAGGACAGAAGTCAAAACATGGAATTTCAAGTTATCTTTGAATTAAGAGTGAGGAATACAATAACAGAGTCATAAGTTTCAAACAACAGAGAAACATGACAATTTACATTATGTCCCAGTAAGTGTCTTTCTCTTACCTGGATGGGCCAGCTTTGAGTTGCCAAGACCCCTGCCTAATATATTTTAGGAAAGAGCGAGCTGAACAAAGGAGAGATGATGCAAAGGTGGTAGGACCAGAACATGCAGACATGGAGAGATGGAATTGCTGCCAGGTTTTCTCTTAAATTGGGAGAATTTTTAAAACAATTAAGCAATTTTTTAATAATAATTGAAGACCACAGCTGGGGGCCATAAAATAGCTATGTAACTGGGGCTATTAGGTATCCACTCCTGCTCTGGGTCCACAGAATCAAAAATGACCATTTCCATCACAATGAAAGATTAATTTGTTTTCAATAGAAAAACAAATGCTCAATTCTAAATGTGTCCACAAGATGGCTCCAATCCACTAAGATTGTAAATATTCAGTTAGAAAATGTGGATTAATCGGAAGAAAATCTATATTCAGAAAAATAAATATTTGCAATATTTATTTTTATATTTGGCTGGTTTTCTGTTACGCATCATGTTAAGAGCATGTTGATATTTTAATAGATATCATTATCTAAAGCTATCCAGATTTTTTTTTTTAAGTATATATTCTAGCAACAGTTTTGATTTTTAAAGATGACTGGACAGCTAAAGAAAATTGAAGTTTGCTTAGAACAGGGGTGTCAAACTCAATTTCATTGAGGGCTGCATCAGCATTGTGGTTGCCCTTCGGGGGCCGGGTAGGTGTGGCCAGAGTGGGTGCGGCCTATTGGGTGGGCGTGGATGGAGTGGGTGTGGTCTACTGGGTGGGCATGGCCAGCTCTACATCGTTCACGTCAAGGGTGGCTGTGGGGGCCTGGGCAGGAGTGGGACAGATCTGAGGGTCTCTGGCAGAAAGGCGTGGGACCGGGGCAAGCGCCAAGGCATGGTCCATTTCTTCATTCCTCACAAAGGGTGACACCTCCCCAGCATGCACCCAGGGGGCTGGGCCGACACGGCAGGGGCTGGTTCCTCGCTGTTTCTAGACGGCCTTGTGGAGCTAAGACTAAATGCGTTTCAGCATAGATGGCCACCACAAAATTGTACATTGGCTCCCAGCCAGCCTGGGCCAGGGCCAAGGCAGCGGGGGCCGTTCTCTCACTGTTTCCAGGATGGCTTCGTGGGCCACATGAAACCACTTCGCGGGCCGCAACCGGCCCCCGGGCCTTGTGTTTGACATGTCTGGCTTAGAACATACAGTATGTTTGCAATGACTATATTTTAAGTACTTAACACTGCTTTATTTTGAGACTGTACTAATAGTTTTATCTTTAAGCCCAACAGCATGGTTGAGAAATAAAAAGACTCATTGTGTCCCGGGCAGCTGTATAATTCTTTCAGCTACAAACAGATTATACCAGCATTTCCCCAATTTCATAACTTCCAAATGTGCCAGTAGTACAACTGCTTACAATGTAAGGATTAGTTTCCCTTCTTTATTCAGGTTAGGGTGGCGATTTGAACTCTAAAAATTGTAAGGAAGTGCACAGGTATGACTGAGAGACTTCCAGTAAGAGCAACCACAATCTCAGGCAATTTTCCTACAATTTACTACAGGCAACTTCTACAGTTAAAAACATGAGATACAACTTTTTTTGCTTTGGAGGGTCTAGTCCAGGGGTCCTCAACCTTGGCAACTTTAAAGACTTATGGACTTCAACTCCCAGAATTCCTCAGCCAGCAAAGCTTAAAGTTGCCAAGGTTGAGGACCCCCGGTCTCGTCCACCTGAGTCCAGCTGAAGTGGGAACTGTGGACTTTTGTTAAAAGGTGTTTGCTTACATCATTGCCGCTCTTTTGATCGCCGATACTTTTATCTTGCTTCTCATGTTTTTCTCGGTCATAGGCCATTTTTTTCAGAAGTTTCCTCATGGCTTTGTCCTTTCGCTCCTTTTTCTGACTTTCAGCGTTCTGCTTTCTTACTTGGTTCACAAGAAACGTAGGAATCTATGCAGACAGACAGCATGTTTTATTGCAACATTACTATTGCTCCCTTAAGACACTGGTAAACATCTGTTGGAAGCTTTCCAATAACAAAGCAACTAAAAATGAACAGCAGATGCATTTATGTTCAGTACCAGGGAAGTTTCCTGTTTAAAACGAAATGTATTATTTCAGGATCAAATTGCTACACACTCAGTGGAGTGATATATATTCTATATTAAGTACAAAGAGTCTGCCTTGTGCCTCTAGCCAACAGCCTCAGTTCCAGATGCCATGGTATCTTAAACAATTGCACCTGGCCTTTCTGTGCAAGTCACAATTCCACAAAAAAGCTAATACAATCCTGGGTTGTATGAACAGAGGCATAGAATCAAGATCAAAGTATTAGTACCGCTTTATAAAATCTTAGTAAGACCACACCTGGAATACTGCAGCCAATCATATCACAAAAAAGACGTTTAGAGTTTGGAAAAAAATCAGGGAAGAGCAACTAAGATGATCAAAGGCCTAGAGACTAATACATACGAAAAACAGCTGTGGGACTTGGGCTTGGCTAGTCTAAAGAAAAGAAGAAATAGGGGAGACATGATAGCAGTATTCCAGTATTTGAGGGGCTGCCACTAAGAAGAGGGGGTCACGTTATTCTCCAAAGCACCAGATGGCAGGACAAGAAACAATAGTTGGAAACTGATCAAAGAGAGAAGCAACCTGGAATTAAGGAGAAACTTCCTGACAATGAGGACAGTTAACCAGTGGAACAGCTTGCCTCCAGAAATCATGGGCACTCCATCACTGGAGATTTTTAAGAAGAGATTAGACAGTCACTTGTCTGAAATGGTATAGGCCAGTGATAGCGAACCTTTTAGAGACCGAGTGCCCAAACTGCAACCCAAAACCCACTTATGTATCGTCGGGTACCGGGTAGGTGTGGCCCATTGGGTGGGCGTGGCTGCAGTGGTAATGGCAGACTGGGTGGGACTAAAAAGTTCAATCAATCAATTCCAACTTTGCAAGATCATTTTTTCCCCCGCCAGAAGTTGAAATTGACTAATTGATTGAACCTTTTATTTTTTGCACACGGCGGCAGAGGCTTTAAGCGAAAAGGTTTTATAAAACCCAGCTGAAGGCCTAGGACTGGGGTGACAGCGCGTGTGCCCACAGAGAGGGCTCTGAGTGCCGCCTCTGGCACCCATGCCATAGGTTCGCCACCACTGGTATAGGCTCTCCTGCTTGAGCAGGAGGCTGGACTATAAGATCTCCAAGGTCCCTTCCAGCTCTATTCTATTCTAAATCTCAACTGCAACTACTCCCATCATGATGAAACTCAATAAAAAAAAAAATCTCATAAGCAAAAGGATTCAGCCACTGACTGTCTTTTCTCAAACAGCTTTACATGAGTATATTTCTAGAAAGAAAAATGTGATTGTTTTCATCAAGGACCATGTATAAAGTATGCTAAATTCAATTAATAAGGTTATCGTTTCCTGTGAAAAACAAAACAGTTTACAAAGTTGGAAGAATTGTGTGAAGAACGAATAATCAAATTAAAGAACCCAGTGCATAATAACTTATTTTGTAAATGTTTCCAGGGGGGAAATAGATTATGCATTAAATAAAACTGGATTATTTTTTTTTCTGGATTGTTGATTAATATGGTAACAAATAAAACCAACCTGTTTCTAAAGTTAGATGGACATTCATTTGGTCTTTGTATAAATAAAAAAATGGCATCTTTTCCCTCAAACTCACATATAATTAATAAAGCATTTATAGAATTTTAAATTGTCTCCAAGACAGAAAAATGGTGGCCCACTGCTTCTGTGACGATTCTTTCAGAGTAACGCTCACTTTTTAACAAAAGCAAACTTACAGTCCAAAGAAGATTCTGGTATTTAATCATAAAGCGCATGACATTGGCTGTCCCAGCCGCCATAACAAACTCGCTTTGTTCTGTGGGCTTGGCACCCAAACCATGAAACATGAAGAGGTTTGGAGCCATAACCATGGCAACATTCTTGAGGGTCATCTTGTTTTTATCTCGAAGATCAATCACTCTTTGAAGAAATTCAAGCAGCACCTAAAAACAAGAGCACCATTTCAAAAGTAGCTATATGAATAATCTTTGCATTCAAGTAGCCTATTTTAAAAAAGATGGCTAATTGCATCTATGGAGTGCATCACGTACACTTCTTTGGTGGTGTAACTATGTGATGCCCAACATCAAAAATCAAGTAATATGACAAACAGAGGGACTAAAGTAGCTTTTATTCTAGAGGATATATGGGTTAACCAATCACAACAATTGTCACGCTATCAGATTGTCCCATTTTTATTTATGTCAGCCTTGCAATGCCTATGTGCTTGCCAATTATTCTGCTGCAGTCTGAAGCCCTTGGGTGAATTATACAAAAAGAAAATGGCAACTAGAATGCAGGGCCATTTTAATATAACTTCCCCCACCTCATCCCACAACTCAGTGCAGGAAATACATGCTGGAACTATCCTTTTAAGATGGGGTTGTCTATCCTCTACGACAAGAGAATGGAAAGAAAAAAAAATTACCACCTTTTAAGGTAATTGGTTCTATCTTGTCCTTCCTGATTACTTCTTTTGTAGACAAAAAATACCAGGTTACTTTCTTTTTTGTTCACTGAATCTCCATATTTCAAACTGAATATCTTCATTTTATGTCTCCAAAATCATTCTGATCCCAACTGAGCAACCTGCAGCAGATCTGGCTGCTCAGAACATGTAGTCATTTTTTTTTTAATTTAACCAGCAAACGTTTATTCTGGAATTATCAATGACCAATTCTAATACTTAAAAATAAGACCAACAGTCTAACCTTGAGTGTATCTCTATTTCCCTCTGGGAGAAGAAGAATCAAAAGATTCAGTGCTTGAAGCTGATGTTTCTTGGTTGGAAGCTCTGCCAAGGAAATGTGCAAGCATATCAATTTTGGAATGATTTTGTATTTTCCTCAATGACATTACGGGACACGAAATTATATAATTAACCTCACTGAAATGCTGTGAAAGATTCAAATTACGGCAATGGATTGACAAAAGCTCCATATTCATGTTTTTCATGACTCAACTACCCAACGATTTAAGAGGTCTCAAATAATGACAACCTCTTTTAGCTATTTTGTTTCATGGGGCAATACTTCCTTGATATAAAAATATGTGATAAAAGAGAACACCTTTTATCTACCACTTATGCATATGAATTGGAGGGAGTTTATGATACTCAGTGAAATACAGCGGTCTTTCCTAAGCAAATTATTAGCATTAATACATACCAAATAAGTTATGATGCAGATCCAGGAATACCAAATTTCTGCATGATTGCTAAACTATCAGCAATGGAGCCAACAGCAATGCTGTTATCAGCAATGCTCAGGATGCTTAAATTTTTCTCAGCATATATTTTGTTTAATATTTTTATGTACTGTATAACCTAGCTTTCAGGATAGAAACTAAGCAAATCTGAAAAATGTCTGTATGAAATACGCACAGTAAATGTCCTTACCAATTACAGAAAATATCTACATGTACAAACAATGAGGATAACCATGAAGTTCTGAAAACCAGTCATGCAGACAGAGGAAATCAGATATAAATCAACCTTAAAACGCTCTTACTCATTGCTTTTTTCCCCACAGTATAGATTATTTATATTCTAAGTCTGACAGAATGGTGCAGATGTTTTAGATGAATGTAAACAAATAACTATGTCTTAATACGAATTACTCAGTGTCTCCCTTTAATTCACTGAAGGAGCTTATATAACAAATGCCGATAAGGCAATAAAAAGATAGCATTTATAGCTGAAACTAACATGTAACTCTAGAAATAAAAAGATCTGCCACACCCCGGCTTCCTCATTTGTTAATAATTCTCAACATACTACCAAAATAACTCATGATTTTCCCACGAAGTGTAGATCTCAAACAGATTCAGAAATTAGGTACTGTATATAATTTTGTGGTTCTGGAATTTGCAGAAAGCATCTTTAGCAAATCTCGACTTACTCTGGGCTAGCCAACTGCTGAGAGCAGAGAACCTCAGCCAATCAACATCCTCTTTCAAACTGGCCAAGACTATGCTGTCTCTAGAGCTTCCAGTCTTCTGTGAATAATAATTAACTTTAGTTCTCAAAAAAAAGCAAATCAAATCTGTTCTTAATAGAAGAGAATATATGTAGCACAGGATTGAACTGTGGAATCCTTGGTGTAACAGCCCAAACTCCCACAAGTGAAGCTGAGTAAGAATATTATTTAGATGAGCACAGACATGAAAATGAAGTAACCAGAAAAAGAAAACAGACCATCTATACCAGGCATGTCAAACTGCCGGCCCACAGGCCAGATGCGTCATGCCGAAACCACGCCCACCCCATTGCTGGCAATGGGGAAGACGTCACGTGACATCGCAAGTTTGACATGCCTGATCTATACTATACATCTTCCAACAAAATGGATACCCATGCAACTTCATGAAAAAGTGCTTAACGCTACCATACATCAAAAACATCTCAGAAATAACCAACAGGCAATTACAACTGTACAGCATCACTGTAACAGACAACTAACTAAAGTTCTTCAAAACATCTTAAGTAAACCAAAAGATATGGTAGCCTAAAAATTAAAAACAGGCATCATCTACATTCTTCAACATACAGTGTAAGGATTGTAACATCCACTTTGTAGGACAGATGAGCAGAAGACTAGCAGAGTACATACAAGAACACTAAGTAGCAATCAGAAGACACAATGAAAAGTCCTTAATTTCACAACACAACAGACTAAACAATAGCATTTTAGACCAAGCTAAATCCAAAAATGCTAGGAAATTCCTAGAAGCTTGGTATTCAGACAAATCAGCCATTAACAGACACATAGAAATAAACCATATTTACACAGCATTCAAAAGAGACTTAAAAGAGCTAAGAAAAAAACAAAAACATCAGAACATCTCCTCTCCAGCAATCAATATCCAGATATGCATGGATTAACACTGAAGAATCAAGCAATAAACAATAATCTACTCAAGGAAGCAAGGAGAAGGTTGGTGGGGGTACCAACCTTGACAAGGCAAGTTACTGCCTATAAACATAGACTAAACTCCTTTCTAGCACTGAAGATGCTACCTAGCCAGGTAATGAAACATCTGCAAGCAAATAATCAAGCTCAAAGAGCACTAAAAATTCCACAAATCTGTTTCTAGTTTCCCCTAACCCAATATATTCCATGCATTTATCCACATTAATTTGTGTAAGTTTCTCTAACGATTTCCTATAGAGATGGTTGCAAAGAATGAATAAAAATATTACACTTGGAAGCCAAAAATCTTCTGTTGATCATAGTGCCAGATAAACTTTGTAAACAACATTCTAGCAAACATTGGGAAGTGTGTTATCCCACAAAGTCCCAAGAGAGTTGCATGGCGATAAACAGTATGAGAATGCCATTATCCAAAACTGCACTGAAGGGCTTTGTCCCTAATTAGTCTGAGGACAGCACTAAATGGGAGGAGGGGCAGAATTCTCTCCAATGGGAAAAAATACCCACAAATACAAGATGAACTCATTGGAATGTGGATTCCAGCTTCCCTTGAACCTCCTTCTCTGGAGGGAAGAAAAAAATGCAAACAGATTTCCAGTGCTAGTGAGTAACTGAAGTATCTGGAAAATCATATCACATTAGTTGTGGACTGTGAACAAGGCTCAGCAATCGACAAGGGTACGTGTAGCCAAAAGAAGGGGTGGGGGAAAAAATCACTATGGAATTGCTCAAAGCCTACAGCTGCCTCATCTTAACTTTTTCTTAAAAGATTTATCATTTTCAAAAGGAACCTAAATGGCCTCCTACAGGAAGTGTAAGAATATCTTATGACTCCCCAGCAACTGATAACTACAACAACCCTCAGCAGCCCCAGCCAACATACATTTTTAGCCAATTACAGTGAATCTGTAATTCTGTATTATTTCCAAGAATTTATAATGTAGCACATTTTGTATTGCGATAAATTATCATTGCAATTACACTTTGCAAATGCCCCTGCCTATTCTATACTAACCAGTAAGGAGCATTTATGAATAGAGATAATTCTGTGCATCTGTTTCCAGATGTAGGGAGTTCTTCGTTTTGTTTTGCTGCTATTTCATGGGACAGTTAATGTTCTTTGATTGAAGGACACTCCCTAATTCAGCAGAGGCTCCTTACAGTAGAATGAGGAGAAAGATCATTTATGATGATTCCTCCTTCTGGAAGCTCCTAACTTTGCCTGTTCATCTGCTCCAGAGAGCTGGGGTCAATTTGGGATGTGGTACTGGACTTTCAGAGGAAAAGGAGCAAATAATCAGAAGTCTCTTACTACTGATCTCTTACATCATTCTGCTGGCTTCGAAGCCTATTCCTTCAGTGGACATTTAGCAACTAGAAATCTGAGACCTATATTCAATAAAGATTAACTGCACACAGTAAGTTTCGGTGGTTGCCCAATCTATGCGTCTCATAGGCTGAGCTGAGCCCTGTTTATCTTGTATGCTCAGCATGTGACTCTGCATAATCTCCTAACAGTAAACCCAAAAAAAAAAAATCTACTTACTCTGCACATCCTGGAAAGCCTTAAGGTACTCCACAGTGAATAAGGGTTGTGGCAATTCTCGGATGAAGAATTTTAGAAGGCTGGCTGCATCGTGCTGTTTGACACTGTCCCAGTTGAAAGTCCCTTCGTAAAATTTTGATTCTAGCTCTTGGCAAAGGTTCTATGTGACACAGGAGAAAGAAACGCAGGTGCTGAGGGTAGCATTTCATATTTAAAAATATTGTAGTTTACAGCCTTCATGGAAAAAACAGCGCATAAAATCTAACCAACCGTGTCATTTTCCTCCCTCTTATACATCAGCGTACCACTATATTTCCCAGGATTTTTCAAACATTGTACTAAAAATATGTATGTTGTGGTTTTTGTGTATGCAATGCCACATGCATCAAAAGACTGGATTTTCATTTCAACCATAGTTCATTTGTCTTTTCTTCTTCACAGTAATCGTGTCCATAAAAAGAAGAGGTTGTCCCAAAATCCTTTTAGTTAGCAGCAACAACAACAAAACACACACATACCCTGTTTTGAAATTTAAAATCAATTCTGTGGAGATACTTCTGAATTCATTCCTTAAAATTTCAAATAATTAAAAATGTGGATGGATTTTGGTACTACTCTAGGACAGGAGTGGTCAACAGGCCACATTCTCTTAGATGTATCTTCTGCAAGGCTACCCAGCAAGCAAGTTATGGGTGGGACCAGAAAAATAGCATCTACACAAGGGAAGTTTAAATCTACAAGATAGTCGGTACAGCATCAATATCAAAAGTCCACTGCACATACAACAGAGACAAGACTTTGAAGTGCCTGATTACAGATTTTGACACAGATTTTGGACATACTGCTGGTCCCTATTTTTTTTTTCTAACTCTTCTTAAGACTTCCAGTTCCCTTTTTCAGCCCAAGCTCATTTTATGTTTGTGACATTCTGCTCCAAGCAGCAGCCGTATCTTTTAGCAGATGTCTTGCAGAAGGCTTTTGATCTTAGTCCAAAGGCCATATGTACAGTTTTCCATCCTGTGGGGCATTTGCACAAATGCCTGTCTGAAGCCCTAACTATCAAAACAGATAGTCCATTGGGACAAGATGGAGCAATGCTCCAACTTGATATAAAACATCTTTCTATGTTATGAAGACTAGTACCTCAATTATATTATCTGTCTTCTTTATCCCAGATCAAATCCTCCTGTGACAATATTTTACAAGGGATTTGGATGTAATTCGGGTAGCCTAAGAGAAGTAACTTCTGCCTGATGTCTCCTTTTTTAATATGTTGTCTCAAAGCTACTTGCTGATCCTCCCTCAAAGCACTGCATAAAATGCACATTTCATATCTTGTTTTAGTTCAGCCATTTTCCAGGTCGACAAGAATCCATATCTCACCCCCTTAGATTGTGCATGTATTTCTAAATTACGTAACCTACTTGTCCAATTTGCAGCTTTTGTTTCGAGTTCACATTTTATGAATTTTAGAAAGCTACAGAAATAAGATTGGTTTCAAAATATGACAGAGGATGATGAGTTATTAGAAAAGCAGTAGTAAAACAACTGCAAAAACCTTGTGCACCCAGGGAGAAAGCAACAGTACAGAGGACGACATCTGAGTAAAATGATAGGGAATTGATTTCTTCAGCGCCACTCCTTAATTTAATTCAGAGACATCTTTAAAGTAATTTTATATATCTGCGTGCTTGTGTTTGACTGTGTGTGTATGTGTGAATGTTGGTGTATAGTCTCGATTTTCATATAAAATCTATAGTTTTGAACAAGTCAGTTCTGAAAGTCATAAAATAAATTTTGACAAGCAGACAATCTGTTCTGAGGCTTCTACCCACCTCTACTATGTCATTTAGAATGTATAGGTAAAAGTTACAAGTTTATGGAAAGATCTGAGTTTGAATCTTGCTACTGAGCACACCTTATCAAATATAAACAAAGAACAGAACACTGGTAGAGAACACAGCACTATTTTCCTAAGCTGAAGGGCCATTTTACCTTTACTCTAGCAGCAACTCCTGGTATTCGAAGCAATCCTTCTGTTTCCAGTTTTCCCTCTTCTATCTGAGAAATGAGCTGAACATAAAAATGGAAAACAGCTCAAGAAGCAGACATATCATGAAACAGTAAAAAGATTGTTATTGTCATAACAATTTCAACATATATGCCTCCCTTATTTCATCTTCTTTCTTTTTTTTGCAATACCACAACTACAGGATGTCTTTAGGCTAAAAAGAGCCTACTATTATTGTAACACATGTGCATAGAGTGACATTTATCCAGAATCAATTTGGAGAAGAGCTAATACCTCACCCACCTCACATCAGGGAATATGGACTTTATTCATTGATTTCTGAAATTCATATCCTGCTTTCTGCTTTGGCCTCCTTCCCATTCCTGACTCAGGTAAAATAATTTATTGGGATGGAGTAGAGATCTGTTTGCATAGATATTAATCAATGAAAAAAAATTATATGCAGAAGAGAATCTCAGTTCATACGTACTCAATCAAATGCATTTAGTCAAGTGCACAACAGGTTTGCTCCATGAGGCTCCTTGCTAATGATGGCTTGAGTGCAGAATTTTTATCTTTAGGTATTAGCCCAGGGTGGGTGTATCAGGTAAAAATAAAATATTTACACAGAGACAGTAACAGTATTGCCCAGCTTACATTAGTTCTGGATATTGCATCTAACTTGATGCCAGTTTACAAATTTCTTCTTTGTTTCATTTATACCTGCCAGAGTCAATCAGCTACTGCCAAATGCATGATGAAACAGGAATGTTTTCATTGCCTTGAGGAATGTGTTATTACCATATGCAGCTCCAGGGAAAGCATATGGCAAAAAAAATGGAGGCTGAGAGAGAATATCACAATTTGCCCAAGATCCATATAATTCAGGGAAATGGGACTGCCAATAGGCCCCTTGAGGCACCCAAACCAACTAAGGCAAGGCAGTGTATGATGTAACCTGGTGCTAGACCAAGTACGGCTTTGTAGTAGCAGCCAACTTTGAATTAGGCCTGGAGGTTGTTAATAGTTCATGCAGTGGTATCAAAATCAGTGTGACTCTGCAGTGGTGAGGTGATCCTGCCAGCAGTCTAATCGCTGCATTTGGATCAATTGCAACTTCTGAATTTTTCTCAACAATTGTCCTATAAGAGTACACTGCAGTAATCTAATCACATAGTGTCTAAGTTGTATTATCATCACCAGGACACCATGGTCCAGGTAGGACTACAATTGGTGCAGTAACCTAAGCTGGGCAAAGGTCCCTTCCCCCTAATTTCCCTTTGCTATTTAAGCAAGATAGTAGTAGTAGTAGTAGTAGTAGTAGTAGTAGTAGTAGTAGTAGTAGTAGTAGTAGTAATAATAATAATAATAATAATAATAATAATAATAATAATAATAATAATAATAATAATAATAATAATAATGGTAAAGTTGGAAGGGACCTTGGAGGTCATCTAGTCCAACCCCCTGCTCAGGCTGGAAACCCTATACCATTTCGGACAAATGGCTGTCCAGTCTCTTCTTAAAAACTTCCAGTGTTGGGGCATTCACCGCTTCTGGAGGCAGGTTGTTCCACTGGTTAATTGTTAATCTAACTGTCAGGAAGTTTCTCCTTAGTTCTAAATTGCTTCTCTCCTTGATCAGTTTCCATCTGTTGCTTCTTGTCCTGCCTTCAGGTGCTTTGGAGAATAGCTTGACTCCCTCTTCTTTGTGGCAGCCCCTGAGATATTGGAACACTGCTATCATGTCCCCCCCCTCGTCCTTCTCTTCGTTAAACTAGACACACCCAATTCCAGCAACCGTTCCTTATATGCTTTAGCCTATAAGGATGAGGGCCCCCACTTTTCTCCACTCTTTTGTTCTACAAAGGTTAAGAAACATGCATGTGATTTTGGTTTAATCTGAAAAATTCTGGGAAAATCATTCTCAGATAAGACACAATTATTTGTACTAATAATTGATGATTGTGTGAGCATATAAGAAAAGAAGGTAAGAATAAGAATAACTAGTTTAACCTGCCCACTGATCTACAGAGAGCAGGAAGAATTTTATCAAGGCATCAGACATAAAAAGGGAAGATGCCATACTTAATAAAAAATATTATGCTAGATAATAAAATATTAGCTTTTTTTTTAAAAAAAAAAATCAGTATTACATGCGGTATCTTTCAGGACTCAATCCCAAAGCTCAAGGAAGTAGAGTGAAAGAACACCAGTCAGCCTACTTACTTTTTGAAAGATAAATGGTGTCCGGATACCTGGAACTCTCTTTTGATCATGTTCTAGCAAAACCAAGAGTGGAACACCAAAAAGACCAGATTCTGTATAAAAGAGTGGGGGAAAGGATTCATGAAGTGGTAATATGAAAGCATTTTAAAATAATATTTTCTTTTTATTTTCAAAAGTTATTTTCAGTACAGTCCCATTACAAAATGGCCGTTTATCAGGACTAAAGCCCACTAAACATGCAGTTAAAGAGAAGACAAAGTTATTTTCTGAAAATATGCAGGAAAAATACTCCGCATATAAACACAGGCAAAAGGCTAAGAAGAAAGAGGGGGGGAAATTCTTAATTAGAATTAGGCATGGACTATCATTTGAAATTCATAAACAACATTGCTTTTTTTGTACAGATTGACATCAGAATATATGAAGTTATTTATATACATCAAAGTATCATTGATACTATTAACAAGGATTGTATCCAATTCTGTCCATCTGCTGATTTTCCTGAAGCTTTTCCATGCATCTACCAACCTTGGGTAGGTCAGCATAATAAAAGTCAGGAACAAGTGAAAAGAGAAGTTTCTTAAGTAGAAATCAGTAATACAAATCTCCAAAACTAAACACTGATCATTATTAACAAAAAAAATCCTATACTTACTTATTATGAAATACACTGTAACTATAACAAGGGGAAAATATTTTAGAAACATTCCTAAAATGTGTTACTAGACTTATTTTCTGCAAGTGGATGAAAATCACACGTACTCAGATATCTCTCTCTGCACGGCTTTTAGTTATTTAGTTCCAACCTGGCGTCTCTACTGAACTACTTCCTGCATATTTTGGCACAGGAAACTACTTAACTGGTAGTATGTTTCAATTCATGGCAGCTAACAAAAACATTTTCCTCGTTTTAATCTATTTAATCTATCATTTCAAAATTAATTTTGTATTTCTTTTTAACAAACACATTGCATTTAAAAAATTATTGAACACTGCCTTGAAATTCAAATTGAGGTAGAATATTCATACACGAGTGCGCACAAACAGAGGTGTACACACACACACACACACACACACACACATACACACACACACACACTTCATTCAGGCAGACTGAATCAAGTTGATCTGATAATGGATAAAATTTGTTTTAATCCACCTGTCTCTGCAGGTGTACATCAACATATGAGACTAAATAAAAGATACAAAATTAAAGAAAAATCTAAGAAGGCAAAGTTAGAAAATAGTGAAACTCATTATAGAAGTTATGAAAAAAAATGCTTTTTTTCTCCTTCAAAAGGCTTTATCTTTTGATTTTCCTTTTAAAATTAATTTCACGGCTGTTTCAAGCTGCAATCCTATAGCCTCAGGTCATTGGTAAAAGAAGATGCCATCCGCCACAAAAAATTTGGCAGATGAAAGCGAGGTGAAGTCATATGACTTGCCTTGGAAGACTCTGAAACTGTGGTATCCAAACTTCTCTCAAACCATCCACTATCTATCCCTGACATACAGAAAATTGAAATTAATTCTGGAGAACTCAAATGATGATTTCAACATTGAGTAAGCATTTCTAGATACATGCTGCCTACAGGCATACAATCTCTTTTATAGATTGGTATTTTGTAATAGGGGGCACGATGGCTCAGCACTTAAAGACGCTGAGCTTGTCAGCTGGAAAGTTGACAGCCCAGGTTCAAGACCCAAGTGCCGCGTGACAGGGTGAGCTCCCGTTACTTGCCTCAGCTCCAGCCCAACTAAAATTTCGAAAACATGCAAATGCTAGCCACATGACCACAGAAGTGTTTTCAGACAATGCTGGCTTCCTCAGCTAAGAAACAGAGATGAGCACTGCCCCCTAGAATCAGATACAACTGGATAGGGGAAACCTTTACGTTTATCTTGTAATAGTGAAGAGTCTGCATATCCCAATGAGGCTATGAGCTCTGTTGCTGAGTGGGTTTTATTGTTTATGATTTAAAATTTATAATATAAGACCACCCAACAGTGACTTTGGATGGCATATAAATTATAAACAAAAGCTTGGTACATTAAACCAGAAAAAGAAAAGATGATTATAAAAGGGGGAATAGACATACAGATAGTCCTCGACTTATGATCACAATTAAGCCCAGAATTTTGGTTGTAAGTTGTTGTAGTCATTAAATGGATCACCCGCTACTTCAGATAACACACAGAGGTGCTATTCTAGAGGTGCCACAACTCAGAAGGCATACTTCCAAGACTCTATCAGATGGCATTGCTTGACAGATGAATTCACCAATGCATGGACACAAACACAAACCACTCCCGCAAAACCGTAACCAATCCAGAAGCGTGCATGGGTCTAACAAAAGGTAACTAGGCCACAATACATTCATGCAGTATTTGTGCTGTTCTGTATCATCAATGAATTTTTTGTTCTAAAATTTCCAAGTGCTAAGCCTTTCAGATGGTTATTTCATCCCTGCCTGATGAGCTCAGCCATAAGGGACTGCTCTCAGCAATCAAAAAGTCCTTCCTGAGAAACTTTCAAAGCTTCTGAAGACTAGAAACTGTTTAAAGAAAGTACGAATGTAGAAAAGGGGGAATGGGGAAGCAAGAGAGAGCATAAAGAGCCAGCTTACAGAACAGATTAATTACAGAGTGATCATCCAGATGGGTTTCAGGCAGAAAACATCAACTTATGCTAAAGACAGCTATAAAACATTACCTCCTCCATCTTGAGGATATTTACTATTTAATGCACAGCTTCAGTGTCATACTGCAGCCTACCTGTCTGATCCAGCTATGGTTAAGTACATTTAACCATATTTAACACTACAGTGGAAATCAGCAGAATATAAATGTGCTTATCTCAGCCAAGGTCTTCCACCAACTAGCACCTTAGCCTTGCATATCGTAGATGGGGAAAAAAGTAAATATCTCCCTCAACTCGTTAGGCAAGTGCCACTTTGTTTTTCTGGTAGTGAGGAAAATATTTGCCATTGCACATGACCTTCTACAGTACTCCGTTCTTATTTCTAAGTGTATATGCCACTGGTGGCGAACCTATGGCACGGGTGCCAGAGGCGGCACTCAGAGCCCTCACTGTGGGCACGCGCGCCGTCGCCCCAATCCTAGGCCTTCAGCTGGGTTTTATAAAACCTTTTCGCTTTAGGCCTCCGCTGCCGTGTGCAAAAAAAAAAAAAAAGGTTCAATCAGTCAATTTCAACTTCTTGCGGGGAAAAAAAAGATCTTGCAAAGTTGGAATTGATTGAACTTTTTAGTCCCACCCAGTCTGCCGTTACCACCGCAGCCACGCCTACCCAATGGACCATGCCCACCCAATTGCCCACGCCCACACGGCACTCGATGATGCATAAATGGGTTTTGGGTTGCAGTTTGGGCACTCAGTCTCTAAAAGGTTCGCCATCACTGGTATATGCAATACAAATTAACCTTATCTCATTATTCCCCCTCCATTGACAATGTTTACAAATTAAAATATTCAAATAGGTATCCGAACACGCATTTTGCAAAACAAACAAACCAAAACCAAAAATTCAACACACTCACCTTTCACTTTAATTTTTGCTGCTTTTTGTGGTTTCAGTTCAATTCCAAGAATGTCAAAAAGAGCAGTCAGTTCAATCAGGGCCAAAGCATGGATTTTCTTCATATCCTGAGGTGCAAGATCTCCAATTTTTGTTGTACCTGTTTTGTCCTTCGGAAATCTGAAGTTCTGTTTAAATGTACATAATGCAGTTATATGAACCCTTAGTGTTAACAATTTCATTGAAAAAAAAAATCCCAAGAAAAACTAGAACTAAATCTACATTTCTGGAAGCGCAACAGGCATGGCTTTAGGCAAAAGTATTTATTCTTTTGGGGCACTGCCTTGAACAGGTGAGGGCCTTGAAATTGGCAAGAGAATTTCTCTATCTGGAAGCCCATTTGAAGTTAGGAAATCTGAACAGAAGTCATTCTTGTGTTTGCTTAAATAAAAATACCCTCTTGGTGCAAAAGTGGAGCACTTCAGAGCTGCCATGGGAATGCATCATGGTCAGAGAAAGGAAAGATGGGAATCCTACTTTAAAAACATCGCTGTCTTGAAGAGAGCTACAATTTTTGGGGAAGAATACCTTTTTTTTTATTATAGTACACGTATTTCGTAAATTTCTGATTAGAAACTTCCCTTCCCTTTGTTCCCACCATTTATAATTTAATTTGAGTCAATTATGCAACCTGGAACAATTAAAGTTAACTAATAACCTTTAAGCAGATTTGTGGTGAATTTAGCATTCTACAGGTTCTTTAGCAACTTTAAATGTTTTATAATTCTAAAACCACCGTCCTCTTCCAAAGACAGGCTGAGGAAGCAAGAGGCAAGTATTTTTTCCCCCAGTCTGAGTTGGATACATGTACTGTAAGTACTGTAAGTAGAAAGGACAATACAGTAGGAATCAGCTTTCTATCTGGTTTCAAACCTTCTCTGTCCAAAAGCCCTGGGAAAATTGAAATCAGTAAGATACAGATGGCAGGAAAAACAAAAACGCAAGCATCAGCAATAGATTATTTCTTTTCAGTGCTTTTTGTTCAGTTGTGCATTTTTACGTTTATTTTTACCTCCTTTCCTATTCTTTATAGAGAAAATCTATCTATGTGGTCACTAAGATTCGACAATGACCCCATGGGACATAATCAATCATCCATTCTATTGTCTGCTGATAAACAATTGCTTCCTCTTGAACATAGATCTAAGTTTCCTTTTCTTGATTCAGTTACCTTCCTTCCCAAGTATTCACTTTTCTGCATTTATTAAAATAAAAATCTTTAATTCATTGTTGCCCATGCACTCAAAAATATTTGGGCCTGATAACTTTGGTTAAAAGAGGAAACTGGAGCCATTCTTTAAAAGGTTAAAAGGAAGAGGAATCTCCTGCTCTGCCCCATCCAGATTCCAAATAAACATCTCCACACAGAAGAACATTTATTTTTGACTTAAGGGCTGATCTTAAACAACGCTTATGATTCTGAAACTGTTCTTTAACTTCAAAGTACCAGTGACAATAATGAAGGATACAGTTCTATCATATCTATCCAAATTACTTTGTAAAGAAAACAAACTAAAAATTCTTTAGCATGACTACTGGTTTTCAATTAATGGTCCACTACCAGTAATATGAGCAGTACCTGTGCTGTAATATTTTGCCATCCCACTTGTTGCATATGGCTCTTTCCTTTGTCTCTCACCAAATAAGTTAACTGTGGGACCTTTCTACCATCTGTGCCCAGATGTCTGCAAAAATACCCTAGATATAATCCTATGAATATTGTGCATGTTGACTTCCCTCATGCAAAGGTTTGTACTAATAACTAAATGGGTGGAGCTGATGTTGATTTATTCACAAAATGCCTCCTCCCATGAATAATGTGTGAATGGGCTACAGCAGGGGTCCCCAACCTCTAGTCAATGGACTGGCACCGGGCCAAAGCATGCCAGAAACCGGGCCATGCAAACAAGTGAAGCCTCATCCGGGGGATGCAGAGAGCACACGAAACCACACCCCCTCCACTCTGCGGAAAAAACTCTCTCCACAGAATCAGTCCCTGGTGCCCAAAAGGTCGGGGGCTGCTAGACTATAGGAAAGATACAGCATTTCACCTCTTTTAAATCCAAGTTGACCTATTTATTATTTGGGAGGGGGGCTATAGATGAAAATAGGTGAAAAATTACAAAATTAAGGAAATTAAACTAAATACATGCATATACACATATAAACACTTACAGGAAGCAGAGTGTCATCTTCTTTGTCTTTTAACACGTCACTTACAGAGTTATTTTTGAGATTAACTGCTTGTTCAGAAAATGATATTTCCAAATTAATGTCTGTTTCAGCTGGTGGCAAATCTTCTCTTGGACAATTATCGATATGTTCATATGCTAAATGTAGGAGAGGAGAGGAGAGAGGAGAGGAGAGAGGAGAGGAGAGAGATTTATCTACAGGGTTCTTTTGTTAAATACGTGAAAATAATAAATTTACCAATATTAGCCCAATGAAGGCAGGAAATGTGCTATTTAGCTAATTAAGTAATGGATTAAATGGAGTGATGTTGAATTATTTTCTACATTATAGAGCATTCCATCTCATGAAAGGAGAAGATTCAAATAAGTAAGTGACATTGGAAATTGTACAGAAGAAGAAAATTAACAGTATTTGCTTCCCTACCCTCTACCTTTTTTTGAGTTCTCACTCCTTTCAGTGAAACAAAAAGATGCACTGGATTTAAACGTCAGTCAACCAAATAATATAATGAGTCAATCTGTTACAGGTTTACATGCGACTTTCATATATCATAACTCCCCATCTTTTAAGCCTTTTAAGCTGTTTGTTTCAGAAGCTATCCATCATACTACCTGGCTTTCTCTCAGCCCTCACATGAACTCAATTTCAGGTTGCTCCATTCTGGGAAAAAGGTGCAATATAAATTGTAACCTGTACTTGAATTTTCACTGTTTTTTTTAACTTACTATTTATTTTTAAATGGAGAAGTGTATCAAATTGAAAGTGCTATCGTTCACCTATGCTCTAGTTCAGGGGTCCCCAACTCCCTGTTCGTGGGCCAGTAGTGGGCTGCGGCATGCCAGCAACCGGTCCGCACAAACAAGCAAAGCCCCATCCGCAAGATGCAGGCAGCACACAAAACCATGCACTCTCCAGTCCATGGAAAAACCTTTCTCCACAGAACTGGTCCCTGGTGCCCAAAAGGTTGGGGACCTCTGCTCTAGTTAATTTTTGTATGTTTTGAAATACATATATTTATATTTTAAAAAAACACAAGTAATCATACTAGCACAATTCTGCTTGAATGAGCCACATACCCCAATTAAGCATAAAATATAGAACAAGTATTTAAGGAATTGTAGCCCTCTTATATCCAAGAATGTACCATCCAGTCACTGAGATTGTTCTCAATAAATTTCTTCCCCACAGAAGTAATTCACTTTCAAAGGATAGACATGTTTTAGAGAACATTGGGGGGGGGGGAGGGTTTGCCATTCAAACAAATAAATAAACAAAAATAAATACCCTATTTTCTCTTTTAAACTGGTCTTTGCACACACAGCATTCTGTCTGGCTGACCTAGTTAGAACGCTAAGACAAAGAGAAGATGTCCTTGACCACCTGGCTGCCTGCTTATCTACATGTTACCTGTGGAAAACAAGCTTTCATGCATGAACAGGCTTTGACTATGCTGCCTATACAAGATTGCATCAGCCTTCTGGGCTCCAAGTCTTTACTTGGAAGAGCTGTACAATTAAAGTCTCTGGAAAACATGATTCAGAAGGTTTGATCTTGCAGCTTTAAATGCCCTTGAATGACACTAATTATCTGGATGCATTTCAACTGGGCTTTTGCCAAAATATAGTGCTGAAAATGCTTCGATTGTCTGGGATGAGGTCCGACACTCAAAACTGAATTGGAGAAATGGGAAAGATTCTTCTGGATCTTTTGGTGCATTCTTCTAGCAGGACGGAATTTAGGATTAACTGTTGTTTCAGTCCTTCCTGACAGGCCACAGAGAGAAAATGGTGTTGCAGAATGACTGTTTGACATCTTGGCTACTCTGCTATCATAGAGTCCATTTCCATGCTATTCCACATAGGAAAAGTCTCCCAGAGTCTTCAGAATTTTTATGAAGTATATTATTCTTATTCTCAACATTTTGTTAGATATCTTGAGTATTTGCCAGAATAGAAAAATGGAGTTTAAATCAAATCACTAGTGGTTAATTCCACTATGTCCTCCCTACCCTAACAAAGATAGTGTCATATTTAACAAGCAAAACAATGACACACTTCAAACACTATTCCAGTAATATGGACAATTCTTTACTATGAACCTGGGAATGATTGTGAAGAACAGCTGTTCCTTTAAAAGAAAACAAAAGAGCAAAATAGCAAAATGGCCTATAAGGAAAAGAACCAAAATCCAAGCCAGGCTCCCCCCTCCCACTGAAGGTATACCCTTACCATGTCATCTGAAGTACAGCACTTCAAAATGCAGGGAGTCCTTGACTAACTATCACAATGGGGGCCAGAATTTCCATTGCTAAGCAAGGCAAGTGAGTTGTGCCCAATTTTATCTTTTTTGCCACTGTTCTTAAGTGAATCGCTGCTGTTGTTAAATAGATCATGAAGTCATTAGCAAATCTGGCTTCCCTCATTGTTGTATTTATGGGCTGGAAGCCTGCTGGGGAGGTTGCAAATGGCAATCACATGATTTTGAGACACTGCAATACAGGCTGAATACACGCTGAATACAGGCTGAATACACGCTGATTGCCAAGCACCTGGATTTTGATCACATGACCATTGGAATGTTGCAATTGCCATAAATATAAAGACCAGCTATAAGTCACTTTCTTCAGTCCCGTTGTAATGTTGGTCACTAAACAAATGATTGTAAGTTGAGGACTACCTATAGATCAATTGTGAGACCTATTGATTTGTGCGGAGTCCAAATCTCCAAATTACTTATCATTGGAAATCAGCAGCTACAACTATAACAAATTTCAGATTAACAGGGTTAAGAAGCGGAAGATATACAAAGAGCTACATTTATATATTGAGGTTTTTTTAAAAAAAGTCTTCTGTTTTCTGTGGGCAATTGTTCTGAAAATAGCATACAGCTGAAGGTGACTTTCTAAGAAACTTGCAAACTTCAGAAGAACAGCAGTTGATCTAATGCAAGGGGGTTACAGATAGAAGGGAAAAAATAATTTCTCTTTTGTTTTACCTATTTACATCCAAAACACATACCAGTTTTCCTCACTTTGTGTTACTGTTACATTTCCCCAAAAGCTTATAAACTGAATTTGCATAAAATGAGACACCAAACTACTGGGGGGGGGAAGTGGGGGCTGTATGGTTTAATGTCAAATGTTATCACTCAAACCCTTGACAAGTATTCTCATAAATGTTTAGAACTAAATCTAATTTACCTTCTTTAGGGTCAGATGTCTCATTGGAATGGTATACACAGATGGGATTTTTGATTTTATTATATTAGATATTTCAAAAATTGTCCAAGTTAATATGTCTATTGTGCTGGAACAAATTATATTAGCTTTTGATAGATGCTATAAGACACCTTTGATTTGGTAGGGTAAAATTAAAATTAATATAACTTCTAGGTTTGTGTATGTTTTATGATCAATATGCTTATCCCCCCCCCCCAAATTGATCAAATTAATAGGATTTGGAGGAAATATATTTGGGAAAGGTAAAACACTTAGAATCTCCCTTTCTGAATGACATTTGTATATGGCAGGTGGCATTTTAATCTCCTAGATTTTTGGAAATACCACTGGACATATTAATATTAATATTAGTATTAATATTTTATTGGAATGATTTTTGGAATTGGAATTCCTTTCTGGGTTATGATGGAAAGTTATTGTACTTACCTATTTAAATCTTGGCAGTTGTTAGGTATAAAGTCTATGACAATTAATTCCAACTTTACCAGTGTTAGACATATTTGGTCCCTGTTAGGTGATAGCTCTAATTCTGATATGGAATTTTATGAACACTTAACTTTCTGCCATAATTCTACTCTATAAATCAATGGCAAAACTTTCCTGAAAAAAATGGGTGCAAAAGGGTATAGTACAGTGGTGGCAAACCTATGGCACATGTGCCAGAGATGGCACTCAGAGCCCTCTCTGTGGGCACGTGCACCATCGCCCCAGCCCTGCCTCCCCCCATGGCCCCCTCACCAGCAGCCCCCCCAGAGGAGAGTTGCCCCCAAGCGCAGTCCGTGCAAAGCAGCACAGCCAAGGGCATAACAGCCAGGCAGCAGGGACAAGACTCTGCCCTCGTGCCCTGTCACATGCAGATGATGCTGCAGGGCATGGGCGGAGGGTATGGTCGCCATGGCGCTGCTGGGCTGCCTGGGCGATCTGCTGCGGTGGGCTGTGGAGGTGGTGGGTGGCCATGCGGGTGGGGGGGGTGCAGAGCAGGGGTGGGCAGGGAGGCGGAGGCGGTTTTGGGGCACTCGGTATCTAAAAGGTTCGCCATCACTGGTATAGTACATTAGATTAAATTTTGTTTAATTATTACTTTAAAACTTTTCAGCAACTGCAAACAGAATTTTCTTTACCATCAACACAAAATGGAAATATATACAGTGAAAACATGTTTTGACAGTTCAATTCAGATTTAATGCTTTAGCAGCTTCTAAAATACCTGGTAAGTTATTAATACTGAACAATTCAATCTCAGAATATGTCATCATTGTGAGGTAGTCCGGATAAGAAGCATACGCGGACAAGAATCATTAGCTCTACTTTACTGTAAGATTATATTACTGTGTTTCCCCTAAAATAAAACCTGGTCTTATTTTATTTTATTTTATTTGCCTCCAAAAGAGCCACCAGGTCTTATTTTTGAGGGGGGTGTCTTTTCCCCTCATCTCGCCGTGGTGGCACCGACAATCCTGCCTAGTTGGCCCATTTCTTCTGCGGCCAAAGGAGCAGCTTTATTCTGCAACTGAGAATGGAGCTCGGGCCTTTATTTTGCTGTCAGAGGCCTTTCTGGAAGGCCTATGCAGCCAAGAACCAAACTACAAATTGAATCAATAGGTCAGTTCTCGGCTGCGCAGGCCTTGCAGAAAGGCCTCTGACAGCAAAATGCAGGCCCAAGCTCCGTTCTCAGCTGCAGAATGAAGCTGCTCCTTCAGCTGCCGCCGAGGCAAGTGTCGATCCATGGGAGGCCTGGCTGCAATGGTAAACTCTACCCCTGCCCTAACTTGATTTTTAGGTGTGCACCTTGCCCCAAAACTAGAGCTTATTTTATTATTTTTTGGCTAAGGCTTATATTAGGCTCACCCCCAAAAATCAAGCTAGGGCTTATTTTTGGAGTAGGTCCTACTTTCGGGGAAAGACGGTAATAGAATCTTACAATTGTGAAAGTACATTTCTCCCATCACCTTTAGAGCCCAAGAAACTGGGAGGATCTCTTTTGAGCTGTTTGCCCTGCCTACAACTCCTACTAGAAATTAGGCTGCCTCTTACCTAGCCATTCCCCTGGTGGCAGCTGTTGCCCTTGTCTCCCGAGGTCATTCCCCCATATCTTTACAGAATCTAAGTCTCCCTTTTTTGTGTCAAAAGCTAAAGGAATAGTTTAAAATATTTAACAAATATACAAGTAGTTTTGAATCAAGAATTGGAAATTCTAATTCTTTTCAACCAATGGACTCAAGTTTTGAAAAACACTAAATTTATATCCTCTTATTTAAGTTTACATTATTTCATCAAAATATTGTTTTTATGTCTACTGGATGGATGGATTAATAATTATTTGTTGGTGCTGCAAGAAATTTGAGGGCACTTTAACGCATATGTTGGTCATGTTCTCCCTTACACTCCTTTGGGAGTAATGTTACACAATATGCTCAGAGCTCATCAAGTTATTTGCTCTTTTTTATATATGAGGCAACCCCAAATCCAGTCCCATTAAACACCAAGCCAATATAATGCTTTGTGAAAAATAGAACTGATAATTATTTGAAGAATACCTAATGTAGACCAGAGTTTGTTCCAAGATAAGCCTGGATAAATCAGCAGACAGAACAGATTTTCATCCTGTCTCAACTTGGAAGCGGTGCTCCATTAGGCAGTAAAATTGCCAAATGTCATATTAAATGGTCATTTGCATGCAGTGCTGCAGAGCATGGAGCACATGAAAATAGCTTTTTACAATTTCCCATTTCTAAAGCAGTCGTGAAGAGGCACTGGGAAAAAAAGAACCAGATGTTACAAAATTCTTAAATAAATGCTTGGTTGTTTTCCAAGCTAAGATTCTACAGTCTGGTTAATTGGCAGAAGACCTGTGTTTTTCAATCTTCCCCTTTCAGCCTTATGCTGACCCAGCAGTTTGGCAACCTTCCCATCCTAGAAACAGTTCTTACCAGCAAACGGCTGCCTGATGGCTTAAGTGAGGGGAAAAAGATTTTACTAATGTTCTTAGGAGTACACACTATTTAGTTCATATTACATGCGGTGCATTTTGGACTTTTGTCACTGTCTACTGAACTTGAACGTGAAATTCTGCAGTATGTCTATTAATGGTACTGTATTGATTGATTTTCTACTTACAAGACTCCATGGCTGTTGTCGCTATGCCTGATCATAAATTAACACATTTTTTTAGGATTAATTCAGACACATTACTATTTTCTTTTGTTATTTTTCTTCCCTCATTTTTAAAGCAAGTATAGGTTGGCCATTATGGATTATGGTATATCCATCTCTGTCTTCATTGCATTTCTTCTTATGGCTCCTTAATCTATTTTAATATCCTAATTCTGAATTGGACGGAACATATGAAGCATATGTGGCTTCTTCTCTGCTTCAAAACACACACAACAAATCTTATCTTGAAAGCACTACAACTCTGAGTAGAACAAGGGAAGATGATCTGGCCCTTTCATATATTTGAAACCAGAATTTTGTAATCTCTGACCCCAGCCATATGATTATGAATTTTTAATATATCTGTAAAATCTTTAATCTATTACTATGCCCAAGTACCCACCATACTGCAATATTTGCTTTTTATCTAATGTGATCAGGTAAACCAGAGCTTCTTTTTAGCCAACAGGCTTCTAAAAACCATGGTCTGTTGTTTTACTAACAATATATTTGCCTTATTATGCTATATAAACAGGATTTCTCAAGAGAACTGGTCATGCTGCTCACCAGGTAGAGTAAATATAGTGAGGTAGATTTTATTTTACACAAAAATTTACCTTCCTTGGCTTTTTCTTGTACACTTTCTTTTTTCCCTTCTGCTTTTACAGGATGGTGATCAATGCCAGATTCCTACAATATATGAAATAGATAAACTAATAATTAGATACACAGTATTGAAAACTAAATACCAATGATAAGCTCTACTTAATAAATAGAATTAATTAGTATTAATTACTTGCTACTTGAGAGAACAAAAATCAAATTCCTGGGGGTTCAGTTAACAAGTAGGCTGGCTTGGTCGCTCAACAGCAAGACACTGGTGAAGTGGGCACAGCAGCGCCTGCATTTTCTGCATCACATGAGAAAAGCACATCTTCCTTCCCCTGTTCTTACCACTTTCTACAGAGGGACAATTGAGAGCATCCAGTCATTCAGCATCACAGTCTGGTTTGGAAGCATCACTGCTTCAGACAGGAAGGCAGTGTAGAGAGTGGTGAGGATGGCTGAAAAGATTACTGGCAGTTCCCTCCCTTCCATCCAGGATATAGCACATAAGCGTTGCCTGAGCAGGGTCTGCAAGATTGTCTGGGACACCACACATCCTCTTCACGACCTGTTTTCCTTGTTACTTTCTGGGAGGTGACTTCGTGGTATCCGAAGCAGAACATCCAGATTCAGTCACAGTTTTGTTCCATACAGTCCTTGTGAACGCTAAAGCTTCCTCCTTCCGTTATGTATTCAAGATGGACAGTAATTAATATTTATGTGTTACATATATGTAAGGGTGTAGGTCTATACATATGTTGTATGTAATATGTTTAAATGTATGTTATGTATGTGTACATTTTCAGAGCAAGCAACTAAATTTCATTTTTAATGTGTGCCATTGTGCCCACAGTAAAAAATGACAATAAAGGTTATCTATCACCTATCTATCTATCTATCTATCTATCTATCTATCTATCTATCTATCTATCTATCTATCTATCTATCTATCTATCTTATTTATTTAGTGGATTTACAATATATGCTAACATTTCACATAAATTAAAAACATATCTGTTTTTAATTAAATTAAATTAAATTAAAAACATATCTATAGTTCCTTTCAGAGTTTATGGTTTGTTCATGATACTGATTCAGCCCATGTCACTATAGTTAATTCCATCAATTTAGCTTCCCCTCTACCAATTAGATTAGAAAAGGAATTTTTTCGAAATTTCAATCAAATTATACTTAAATTCATTTGGCAAGGGAAAAAACCAAGGATTAAATTAAAATTATTACAGGATGTTAAGGAAAGGGGGGGTTTTGGCCTTCCCGATCTGGAAAAATACTATCAATCTACAATTTTACTGTGGTTGCGGGATTGGATTCGACTGGA